TGTATATTGAACATGGATTTGTACATAATAAAATAAGAGTTAATAATTGTATAAGAATATTATATAAAAGAGGATTTAATTTACCTATTATATACTCTATTAATTAATTTTATTTACACGATGTTCCAAGAGAATATTACACTCTGTACATGAAGTTCCATCTACATACACTTGATAAGGACAATAAACCACGTGCAGACGATAGTTTTATGATTCGCGTGTGAATTACTTTACAATAAATTGATAAATAATAATTATACTTTCATGATTAAATAAAGATTATTGTGCATAGTCAATAAAAATTAATATCATTTTGTATTATAATACTTTTTATTACGAAAGACCTAATTTCTAGTAGGTTAGTCTCTGTTCTTCTCTACGTGATCTTTACTATATCGTACGGATGTCAGTTTATATTTTTGAAGATCTCATACCAACAATAGATATAAATCTTTTCTTATTTCATTCTTCCTTACAAATACACGTTCACGTTTTATACCGATACAAAATGTAAGATAGATGAGAACATTGAGAACGTAGACACGTTGTTTTAAACTTGCAAGCTTTGACTCAAAGCAGCGATCGCATTTGTTGTAAAAAAGACAATAAAAGGATTATGGATTGTTAAGGGACGATATGTTCACGTTATATTTCCAAAAATCGTGAATTTTCGTTCGGGGACAAATTCAATTTTTCAGCTAATGTGTAAAGTGCACGTGCTACTGTAAAATTATGTAACCAGTTTACGTTTTATTTTAAGGTTCTTATTTTTGATTGTATAAAAATAAGTATCTTGCATTACATTTTGTATTTATAACTGAAAATTCATTCATTTGTTGGAAGGACCTCAATACTGACACACTTGCTATAGGTAAATGCAAGTTGTTTTTATTGATTCACAATTACTTCTTAGTAGAAAATTTATTAAAAACCTTAGTAATAAGAAAAACTATATCTACTAATAGAAAAAAATATAAATCTGAAAAATGAATTTTCCAATAATGTCTGGTACTGGCTTGTTTTAGAATGTCCTTCCCAAGTAAAGTAGAACGTGCAAAATGTTGGTCTCATAGAGATGAATACTGGAAGTGCCTTGACGATGGTAAAACAGAAGCTGAATGTAAACAATTTAGAGACCAATATGAAAAATTTTGCCCTGCATTATGGGTGAGTTCATTCATTATACGCCTGACTCTGCTCCAAAGAAAATATTACTGCTTCTCGTTCAGAAATACTGTGGTATAAGAGTAAAGCATAGTTCTCTTACATGTAGTGCTTATCCCTCTTCGATTAAATCTTCACTTGTTGTCTTCACTTTTTACTAGGTAAAACACTTTGATCGTAAGAGAGAGTACATGAAATTCAAAGAGCAATTAGAAAAAGAGGGGTATGTTCCTGCCGAGCAAAATGAAAAACTATAAAACTAATTTAGCAATTACCTTTAAACTAATAGTTGAACTGTTTTCCAATCATTGAGTTTTCTTATTTTTTATTACCTGCAATAAAATTGATACTTACAAATAACATAAGATTGTCTTATTACATTCTATGATCCTTAATCCGTTGAATAAACAGAGGAACGCAATTTCTATTTCTTTTAATTTTCAATTACTGAGCACATATAGAATTTTACACAGAGGGCTACTTTGCTGGCTGCTAAATAATATGCTTTTGTTACATTCGAGCTAAGAATTCGTTATTTTTCGAACTTTCTTTCGAGAAATTTCTTTTATGCTTTACTGAAATTTGTTCCGGTTTTATCTTTTTCATAGCTGAACATGATAGCTCTAATCCAACCGAGACATAATTGAATATTAATTGCAGGACATGTAGGCTTGATGGAAGTAAAGCAGACACATCTGAGTCGACTGCACAATCGTCAAAAGCAGTTTTTAACTTTCAAACGACAAATACAAACTCGTACAATTAAAGAACAAGAGTATATATATATATATATATATATATATATATATATAAATTGTATATATAGTATACGTAACAATTAAATTGGAATTACTGTTCCTGAATTACAATAACGAAATGTGTACAAAAAACATGGAATTGAATCATGTGATCAAAGAGTTACAAACATGTACAGACGACACTGTTATATTCAGAGTTAGTATTCTTTAGTTCTTACTGTCGCAAGTTTCTGTGACTGCGATCACTGTTGACTTTACTTTGCTCTTTTAGAAGTTGATAAACTTCGCTTCATCGCGGAAAGAATCGTGGAACGGGGAGCATTTGAAACAATGGGAACCAGTCCTTGCGCATATTATGAAAACTTTTATTCCAAGTATGGAAATTACGAGAGAGAAGACTTTATTGGCCTCTCATACATTCTTCGCTTTATTGTCGATAGACCCTACCTTGGTCGTCTTAAAAGAAACATTCACAAATCTTCTGAGTTTCGAAGCGAATGAGTTGCATGCTTTCGGTGAGAAGTACGACATCGTCGAATCCGATTTGTTCAAATTAACTTGCGCCTACGGATATTTACAAGTGAATCGCAACAATATGTATTCCAACGATGTTTGCCTCCTCATTTTCGACATTATATCCGAACATTGTATAGGGTATACGAAACATTCGTATTTCGCTTACAAGATATTGTACATGTGGTTGCAAAGAACGGCAGATACAAATTTTTGGTACGCGTGTTCAGAACAGGAACGAAAGCTGGAGGCGATCATTTTTTCGAATTGGTGTAACGCCATCAATGAAATAAGCAAGCAGAATTCGACGCTTGTCTTTAATACGTACCTGAAAATTATGGAAAAGAAGTATAGCGGATACTTGGAATATTTATTTAAGCATTGCGTTGAGACGATTTCCTGGGGGAATGAATTGAAGTACGATATACTCGCGGAGATCTGCGATGTTTGGAACAAAACCGAGATCGTTAAGTCCCGCGATTTCTTACTTTCTTTGTCCATGAGTTTAACAAAATATTGCCTGCGTTCCTCTGGTACGAAGGTTTATCTCGCAATCGCAAAGAAGCTCAGCGAAACCGAATGGAAAGAAGCGTTTGGTCATATAATATGTTATCTCTTTCATCACTGGGAATCATCAGAAAAGTGAGTTGAATCATTAAGATTGATGGTGAAAAGAATTAGTGCGAATCTTCTTCTTTAATTACAGCGAGAACCATGTTGCCCTTCAGTTGCTCTGCAAACTTTGGCTCGAACCAGTCCTTAAAAAGTATAAAAACCTGTTACTTTATTTGTGGGATTTCGTCGCGGATATACAAGGACATTTCTTACGTTCGCATCTTGAAAGAATGGCTTGTGAAATGCGAGTGAACCTTCCGCGACAAGCGACAATCGAATCCTATGTAAATCATAAGAACGAGATTGTAAGATTGAACGGGTTCGCGATAAATTGTTACCAAGCAGCCGACACGTACAATGAGAATGAAGATCGATTCGCTTTGATCAGAAGTTTCTTACTGTACAATGCGAATAGTACAACAATATTTATGAGAGACGGAACTGTGAAGTACTTTAGAATATTCTACACCACCGTTTTAAAAATGTGCGCCAGTAAACGAGAATACATAGACGACGTGTATTACATCACACGTTGGTTGCACGAATTCCTTTTGGATTGTTTTGAGATCGGTTCTTGTTATCAAAGAAAAATCTTCGGCTTAAATTTATACAAAGCTATACTTTCTTTCATCAACGAACCTGTTACAAGTAGATCAAACAATGCCGAGATCGTTTGCTGCGCCTTGTTACTGGATAAACATTTAATTGCAACCGGGAATTGGAAATTTACAGACAAAAGAAGTTTATTCATTTTATTAAGGCTTGTACTGGATTCTGCCCTCGACGTTAGACAGTCAGCGGCTTTTATTATTCTCAATTATTTCGATGAAGATCTTTTATCTGACATAGAGATGCAAGTAAGAAACAATATACTTCCGACATTTTATTTACTGTTTCTCTTATAAAGAATGATACTATTATTAATTCAGGTGTTATTCCGTACGGCAATGAGATATTGTAATTCATCAAAATTCTACGAGACCGAAAGCGGTGCTGCGTTAATGTCAATTTTAATTAATTGGCTACCGTTGCATTCTTTTAAAGACTGTACAAATTACTCGAATTACTCATGTTTCTTATTACACGAAGCTACATGTCAGTTAACGGAGATGAAACGAGGGATACTAAAAGCAATCGTTCAGGGTAAACCATTTTTCGGTGTGATGACCGCATTATTAAATATTTCTTTTCGCAACGGGCCGGAGAGTTCGAATCCCTCTACAGAATTTATCGAAAAAATGCTGCAGTTGCTGGACGATGCAGTAGATTTTTTCCTATCTACGCTTTCTTCGAAGTCCGAAAGTCAAGGTACGCTTTATATTAACCGGAATGATCTTTCGTTTCGAATAGAATTCTAATTAAATTCGCAGAGCATTCGTCGTCTTTCGCGGAAATGGGACTGGCGATCGATCAAGCGATCAAAAACAGCGAATTAGATAATATCGATGTGGATGATTTAAGTTTAACGCCCGCTCATCAGGTTCTCGTCTCTTGCATTTGGACGTCCTTAAAGGTAAAAATCTTTACGGCGTCTTGATCGCAAATAACAAAGGTATCTTTGTATATAGATCTGCTGTGAAATGGCTTGTGAAATAGGCACTTCGATGTCCTCGGATGCAACTGTCGAGCGTACGGCTAATATTATCGTTACGGTGTTACTCAGATGTAGACACAAGGGCGTAGTGGAAGCCGCGGGTGCGGCTATAGGATATTTAACGAGGTACATTCTATATATTACTTTAAGAGAAAACGATCTTATGACGGGATTCAAATTTCCAGGTCCTTATGCAAAGAGCCCAAATATTCCGATTTACCAAAGAGGTATCTATCTCGCATACTTGAGAACGATTCTATGCACTCTTTGAACATTACAAGGAGGGGTGCCGGATTATCTATAATGTTTCATAGGATCGTTGTTAGCGATAATCGCCGCGACAGGCCTCTTTTACATTTCGCGGTGCAAAAATTATTGGATTCGCTGAACCATTTCTCCGACGATCACGCGAGATGTATAGAATCTCAACACGATTCTCCGTGGGCAAGGCGGTTGCACTTTCTACGAGCTTTGGTGGCCGATAAAGAGATCCACGCGCAGCTGACTCCGTATATGGAGGATATTTCCTTGATTTGTTTCAAGTATTTGGAGTCCGAAATGTGGAGTATTAGAAACGCAAGTTTACAGTTGTTCGGCTCGATAGTCCCGAGATTAGTGGGTCAGAGTTCCGGAGAAGAGGTAGATTTCGGCAATGGCTACTCGATTAATCATTTCATCACGCATTACCCGGTACTCGCGGATTATATTATGAGAGAATTGCACCGATTCTCATTAACGTTCATGAGCTTCTCTACTGCTCTGTATCTACACTCGAGGATAGTTCACGTTCTTGTGTTGCTTTCGAAATTCTCAAACAGTTCTTCCGAGTTGATCGATTACTCCTCGCGGGAATACGTATTGCGAGCGAGATGTTTACTTCGTATAGTACTCGGCAATCCAGTTTGGTACGTTAGATACTTGGCAGCGAAGTCGTACGCAGCGTTGACAGACTTTTTACAAATTAAGTCTGAGATCGCTGGACTGAGATATGATATTTCATCGTGCCGATCCACCAATTTGATTCACGGTTACTTGCTAGCTATAAGGTTTTTAAAAGAGAAGCTGTCTGCCGAAACTGACTGTCTGAATTTGTATTCAGATACAGCGAGCAACAACTTAATAAAATCCACAGAACTGTTGAGGCTTCGAGAGATATTCAAAGTTTGGAAGGGTACACCAAACGGAGGAGGAAACTCGAAAATATGTTATATATTAGAAACACTGTTCCTACAGTTAAGAGAATCCATTTCCGATGAGATGTCGCATGAAGATATATTTATTTTTAATGGAACTTGTTTACTCTCCTCTCAGCGTATCAAACCAGGATTTTTCCAGTTCATCGACATCTCGACAAAACTGTACGCTGATTATATTAATCGTACGAATAATATCGATGTTGACACCATACGTAAAATCTTGGAATCTCCTTGCATCGATCAAAGCGTTTCATTTTTAAACAATGTCTCACATTGTCTACCAATCCTGAAGATCGTTCTCCAACGTTTATTTTCGTACAAGTATAATCATGGACTATTTCTGAGCGCAATGACAAATTACATTCTACAAACGCTGAAACAGTTGTCATTACACGTAAGCGACTTGAATATCGAAATTGAAATTCTCCCTAGCACGAAACTGGAAAATACCCAAAACGTGAATTTATGGAGTTTGAAATGTGTGCTCACAATCATGTTCTCTAAGAACGAAGCTACGATAAGTGAAACATTGTCACGTGTCCTTGATTTAAGTGTTCACGAAGAGGAACACTTAAGACGAATCGCAGTCGAATGCATGCAATTCTCGGTTGGTCGCTTCCGGGATTTAAGAAGTGAAGATAAATCAATCGTTTTACACTGCTGTTTAATACTATTGAAAGATGAGATTTCGGATATTCGCGAGGCGATCGCGGACAGTTTAAGAGTCCATGTTCTAGAGGCGATTACTCCCAATTACAGTAGCACAGAGCATGATGAACGTATATATGAAAATTTACTGTCTGCTATGATGCTTGAAGAATTCAATTTTCCTACGAACAAAGATAGGAATCTATATTTTGTAAAGTTATTCACGCACAGTGTTAAGAATGTTGACGGTAGCTTGTTAATTGAAAACCCTTTCTACCACGAGGATAATCCTTTTTATAGAGAAGAGTCAAAATTTCTAACTCTTTGTTTTTACTACGCGAAACAAAAGAAACGCAGTCATACAGATAAGTGCTCCAAAAGAGCTAATGCGGTTGGACACGAGAGGAATACAGATGATTTAAGTAGAATCGGAGCGAGATATCAATTTCAAAGAGAGTTTTATTTCGATGATACTAACTTAGAAGTAATTTTAAATACTAAATACGTAGATTATTTACGAAATAAGCAAACGATCGTAATACAGGAGTACAGCTAATGATAATAATGTATAGTCGTTGTTATGCAGTGGAAAAGTAATTTTTTATAATTAGAAATTAATGATAATTTTTGTTAAGGTATCTCGAAGAATAAATGCTTTTTAACCCATCGAAAGTACACAAGAGAATATTTAATTGTCCTGAATAAATACATCTGTACACTTCACGGACGAGACACAGGCGTGTGCACATCCACAAAGCTCATATAACTTTTATATTTACAATTTATGCTACACGAAATTGTACCAGAATAATAGAAAATTTCGAACGATCATAGAGAATATAATGTATATATTACACATTACTTAATAATGTTCCTTCGAACATATCATCGTATCTACAATCGCGAAACAGATATCAAATGTGATATACAGGGTGTTCCGTAAGGAGTGTTAAAGCCGAAAATGGCAGAGTGAGAGGGTCATTCTGAATAACAATTTCCTTTGACAAAATGTAAAATGAGGCTTGATGACTGATCACTGGGAGCGCGAGGTTCGCCCGCGCTTTATTAATTTTTATTCATAATAAAGAACGGACAATTTCTTTGCATTGTTATTTATGTAGTTTATTCGCTTCGTATTGAGCTGAACGTTTGCTCCCTGGCTATGGCCAGGCGTTACAACTCGAACCAAGAAATCCGTCACTGAGCGGAGTGTTTATCGCTTAAAAAACCAAGTCCCATTTTACATATTGTCAAAGAAAATTATTGTTTAGGATGACCCTATCACTTTCCGGCTTTAACACTTTTTACGGAACACCCTGTATGTAAAGTGTTTTAAAAATTGTAATTGATCATCTTGAAATTATTCAGCTAAGAGATGTGACCGTTCGTATCGAATTAAAAACTATGATGCATCATCGTGTGCCTCGTAAATCATACACATCTTATGTAAAGCGAATAATTGATCGGTGTTACGCATATAAAATTGAAAAAATTCAATCCCAAAAACCGTTCCTCCGGTATTCAAGAGAATTTTTGCTACTCAGAAAATGATTTTATTCGCTCGGTACGCGTCTCAATTAAATGCATTAAATAATTATCGAGAGAAGAAGTTGCTTTCGTCGAGGGGAAGGAAGAGTACACATCCGCGCGACTAAGACGATTGAGAGCAACGTTCCTCTTTCGATCTTAAGCTAGGAAGGATTAAATCTACGATACTTGAACACTGCGTCGTGCTTTCGTGTGTGAAATAAATTGCGCGTACTAGAACTAGACGACTCAACGAAGAACGTGATGAAGAACGATCAGAGCGTAACAGATTATTTCTCTGTTATCAACGAATATTCGGTTCTTGTTTCAATAGGATATTTATTTTCATACATGCGGGTACACAAAAAAAATCGAGTAATTTGCTATTCGCTTCTGATCATACGATACGATGTATCTTCCACTTTGCTTGAGTGTTGCAAACTACATATTTGTTTGGTGAAACGGTCCTAACACGATTATTTAAACCGTCACCGTGATATGTCGCTAAACGATTACAGTAAATTTCTTTGGTGATTACTCCTCCTATTTACATCGATGTTTACATAATAACTTCTAAGGAGTATCTAAACTTGTAATCATTTTCAGAACATCATTCGTTAAAGGAATCGTTCACACACGCTTACGAGTGTCATCTTTTAATTAATATTAAGTGATAGATACTATCGAGAGATAAATCTTAAACTAATGGCATCGTTACTATTGCTATTATTAGTAAATATAGATGTACACGTGAAGTTGTAAGTAAAATTATTTGATCATGTACCTGAAATCGAGTCTTCCTTTCGCATCTCGATGAAGATTTAACTGGAAGTCAGGATTTGTTTGAAAGTATTGTCTAATAGCAATAGTTTTCACTCAAATTAAATCGTGACCCCTTATGATGATCGGTAATAAATTAAACATAAACTACAATCGAATCTGTTAAATGATTCGTTGAAAAAACACGAAGTTTACATTACGCATAATTTAATAATTGAATTTTGCTGAAACGATCACCGAGTATAAATTACGTATAAAGCGTGTGCTCATAGGTGTACAATTGAATTATATTACACATATGTGTCAATTTTAATATATGTATATGTTATACAATTTTTTGTAATAGAACTATCAGGAACCATTACTCCTTGTTCTTTTTATACAATTGCATAAAGTATGCAGCAAGCCATAAAAATATATTCTCCTCAATTTGATATTTTCAATATTACTTTTAACCACACGAATTTACCGTTCTATAAAACTAGTGAAAGAAATTTTATATTAACCGTGATGTATCTTGATAAAATATTAAATAGTTAAAATGCTGAATGAATCTGTATCCACGTGTTGAGCGATAAACTATTCAACGCAATTATTGCTGGCTCATATTTACGATAAAATAACTTAGCAATGATCGCGTTAAATATATGTTAATACCATTGATGTATGAATATACATTCTCATGCAGTCAAAAATGCATAGGCACGAAGATCCGCGCGTAAGACGAAATAACGTTAAAAATTGTTCCGCGAACATTGTTCGGTTTTACGAACACAATATAAATCATTTTTTCCTCATTATATTTTTGCATTAAATTAAATTCTGTAGCATAAATGTACATTACAATAATTTAATAAACGATATAAACGAGCGTAAAATGCAAGCAGAATTTGAATCTCGTCAAAATCGTAGCAGAAGCAGGAGAAAATGTTTTACGTCCAGATATCTCGGTGAATATTTGAGCGCTTATAAAAAAACGATCAATGAAACAGTTACATGATACCTTGATTATCCGCGTCCGAAATTACTATCGATTCTTTGTATAATTATAAATTTCTTTTCACGTTGCAGCTATTATTAAGTGACACACGAACTTCTTAACGTTGTAAACTCTGGTTTCCTCTGTACGAACATCTTTTTGCAACGTAATCAATCGTCCATTTCTAATTATTATATGACAACTGGATTATCCCCAATTCGGAACGAGTAATTTTTTTCTAATCAAATTACTTTCATTCGTTAAAGTGGGACTTGAACATTCTTTATATATATATATATATAGAAAAAGTTGCAAGTTAAAGAATATGTAAAATTGAATTTATTTAAAACAAAATTAATCTGCATCCACATCATGTTGTTATAGAAGATACTTATTCATGCACTTGGATGCGTCAATTTAACAATAACTTATTTCTTTCTTAAATTTGTGTCATCAATAAAATCGCGCTCTCTCTATTGCTTAATCGAAAATCTTTTCAATATCATCTTTCCCCTAATTAAGCCATCCGTACATGCATTGTACAGAGCATTGATTCTTGTACTTAGTATCCTCAATGAACATCTTATCAATACACAGAAATGTAGTAAAACTAAAAGTAAAAACTATCAACTAAATTAAATGGACAAATACCTTTTACGGGATATTATCGCTTATCAAAATGTCTGTGATTATTCTTCTCGCGTTTCATGTTAAAAGGTATAGTCGTTTGTTATTTAGCTGCCTGTCCAAGGCCCACAGACGATTTCGTCTTTTGCGACGACTCCGCGGATTCGTTAGGTTGATCGACGTCCATCTAAAGAATCCGTATCCAATAATTTAATCATCGATACATTAAGTCGATCGAACAAGCTAGTCAAATTGCAAATACGTTACCTTCTCCTCTTTATCGTCGTCGATCAGTATCGGCCCGTTCTCGGCCTCGTATTCTTTTAAAACAGCGTCCAAGTTATACCTTCGTCGGTAGTTCACGAAAAATGATCGTAAATGAGCTTCCGTCTTAGTTCCGATCACATCGGCAATAGCGGAAAAGTCTTTTCCGTACTTTCGAACACCTTGAACAGCCAGAAGCAGTTCGTCGTTCGTCCAACGAGCATTTATGCGACTCGACACCTCCGGTGGTCGCAAGTCATCGATACCATCGGTCGTCTTGCGTTTCAATGCACTAACTTGTTGCTTGTTCGACTGTATCTACAGGCGAAAAATTAAACGTAATTTATTTGATACGCATCGACTCGCTCGGACCGACGAATTGTACACTCGTATTTAAGTAAAAAATGTATCCACACGTTCTGTGCAATTTTAATTAAGAACGTACTTGTCGCTTTAGGCTAACGATTTCGGTATCAATTGCTTGTAAACTGTTGTTCGCTTGATTGGGTTGGCCAGCCAGTGCCGCTAAATCGTCGTGATTAACAACGAGACCGCGCGGTGGTTTTCTTTTATTCGTTCGACCCGGCATGGAACTTAACGGCCTTGCTACCCCGGTTCGCCTAAATCATTTGGACAAACTCGTAATTCATCTGATCTATAACTACTTGAGTTTTTTTATAACTTCTATTGAAAATATTAAATTAGCCTGTGAACATACGTACAAGAATGCTCATGCATTCTTTTGAAAGTGTAAAGTATTAGTAATGAACATCTTACAAGTATATTTTGTACATAATCATTTAACGTCGTCGGTGATGAGTGAAAACGTGAAACGTGCATGAACATTCTAATTTCAAAGGAAAGTTTGTCTAATGAATTTTCTTTTTAATTATTGACTTAAACTTGCACTCACTGACCTCCAGTGCAGATAGCAGCTGTGACACGCGTGTCCTTTTGGAGTCGCACGAACACTATGACAAGCAACGCCACAGTTGCTACACGAGCCCTACAACACATAACACCCTTTTAAAATAAGTTCCTCCGAACCCCCCACCCTCTCCCTCTACCAAAATCCTTTTCAACATTTATCTAAGAACTAATCTCTAAGCATAGATCTCTCGTCGTAACGATAATGGAACATGTACATGGGTCACATCAAACGTTCTAACAGAATTAAAATTTCGAAACCTGCCATAAAAAAGGAATCGGAAGCTCGAAACTCGATGTGACTCTCATTAATTTTACGAGCAATCAAAATCTCAATTTTTGATAGAATCGACAAATTCGTGAGATACTCAAATCCCCCTCGCGTTAGATAATTTCTGGACTTCAACGTTTGTTCCTCAGTAAGGTTTCAGCCTGTCGACTCTACTACTGGTAAAATCTAGTGGCTCGGTTGCACAAAATTTTAGCTTCTTGTTTAAAGGAGACAACGAGACGTACGACAGAGAAAGTAAATAAATAAATAAATACGGGACGATAAAGGTAACAAAATATAATAAGCATACTATGCTATGCGACAGGGTATGGTTTAGGCTGAGTACCTGAACCTGAGGGGCGTTTTCCGAGTCGGATGGGGCTTTGGCGTCAGTGCCGTGGCTTCCTGGCACAGCTTGGTTCTTTCCACGACGTATTCCGCGGTGGATCGTCCATTTCTGGAACGTTCCACATTTACGGTTCACACACGATCCAATGAGCTTTAGCTTTAGCTTTTTAATTGTCATCAATCAAACCAAATTAATAATAATATCAGTTGTAATTCTCTTTCGTACAATAATGCTATTTCGTGTTCATTCGTCAACTTATATAACTCGAACGATTTTCTCCAATTATATTCTTATCACTTTGTTCATTCACCGCATGGAATACGTTGCCGTGTGGATACATTTTTTTACGCAACGCGTGTTACTGCGCTTCTTTTTTATTTCTGCATGTCCGTACACGATTTCGAGCCAGTGCCATGGCATTAAAATACAGCAAAAGGAAAACACTAGCACACGCAACAGCATAAATGTTAATTCACTTAAAATAACGTTGTACAAAAATTAAAACAGGTATACGAAGGTGTAATTGTTGTACAAACAAATGTTAAGACGAAGCAACTAGAATATCGTTTTAAGCAACAACAGATATCACTATATACTAAAATATTCAAAAACTGATACTCCATGACAGTCTGTCATTCTAAGCATTAATTCAGAAAAACAGAGAGAGAGAGCGAGAGAGAGAGAACAAATTTACTCCTGTTCCATGGACATCAGATTCATGCAATTGGTAGATACATAAAAAAAAAATAAATACACCTTACCTTTTCCTCTGATTCGCTGTCGGTATTGGAGCCTAACTCGCTCCCATTTTCACTACCATTCTCTCCTTCTTTTCCGCCGCTTGTCAGCTTCCGCGCTTGACGGTCCATCAACGACGTTCTAGTCCTTGTTTTTTTCCAACTGTAGTAGTATTTCACGAGGCTGGCAATAGATTTATCAGGTAACTGTGAACAAACGGCAGAAGGACATCAATGAATGCACACAATACTTCTCTACTATAGAACTTAAAGAATGATTCTACCATTTGACGAATTCTGTGGAAACTCTTTCCATGGAACTGAAATGCTTGTTCGAAAAGAACCTTGTCCTCGACAGTCCATTCGTCTGGGAATGGCGTAAAATTAGCTAAATCTAATACAGCACGCTCTAAATTATGTTTATGCCAAAATAACATTCCTAATGCTTGTTCTCCATTATATCCATACTTTTCTTTAGCTAAGATAATATATTCATCCACTGAAATAAATGGATGTAAATTTGTTATAATTAATATGATTGTAAAATTGTAAGTAAGGGAATTCTTGCTCGAGCTTACATTTTTGATCAGGTATATCTGTAGTAGGAGACCATACCAATAATGCCCTATCGGGACATTGATCCAATCGTCGTTCTAAAATAGAAAGATTTTAATTACGAAAGTAGGTATATACTTCACGAGCATCATTTAGCAAATATAGTGCTCAGGCAAAATTATAATTGTAACATGGAAGAAGTGACAGACAAAGAACTGTGCAAAAATCACGTACCATGGACTGGAACTAACTCTGGTACAATAACTTGATAGTCCCTTCCAACACGAATTTTCTCAGCTGGAACTATAAAAAAACATCTTTTGTTTAATACATGAAATATTAAATTGATACAGGAATACGTGTTTTCACAGAGAGCAGTTTTTAAATCATTGGAAATGGAAAATAGAATTTTGTTCACACATAAAAATGAATCTGACATACAATTGAATACAGTTCGAACTGCAACTACTTCGCTTGTATTAATGAAAAAAATTAAATATTATTTAGTAAGGCGCAAAATTAAAAACGGAACGAAGTGACATCGAGAAAAATTCAGTTAGTTATCGTTTTAGACATTATTTATAAGGAGAAACTGGTTGAAAGTGCGAAGAACTTAAAAAGACGAAAAGTGGGGCGCGCTGTTTGAAGATCCTTACGGATTTTCGTACTGGATCAATATAAAAATATGTAAACTTCTATGAAAGAATATGTCCACGGTATTCCTCTGTGTTTGCGACGCGTATCGATCAGGATAGCGTCTAAAGAAATCCCGTTAATTTTAAGAATAGTCAAAGTGCAACATGAAATTGATACCTCCGTCCTCATCGCTCGAGGAGTCCGACTGTCCATTGGGGCTGGGGCCTCTCGACCTGCGCCCATTTCGCACATTTTCCGAGTTTCTCTCCGCCAAAACCATTCTCCTTTCTTCCTTCGATTCACGTTCTCTCCGATATCACTCTCCGGAAGTTCCTCACGCTTGGAAAACCGACGAAACCTGGCGATGCAAGCGGTAGCTTGCGAGTGCTTGCGAGTGCACCGTGCTCTGTAGAATCCGACTCGCGCTTCGTGCGACCGTAGCGAAAGTAAAATGGTCGCTTATTGAAACTGATTGGTCAACAACTTACCAAGCAAAGATGGCAACGTACATTTTCAATATATTTCGAAATTATAATTGCATTTGAAACGTTCCACCACTTCCGTACAGGTTTATGGAATTAATCGAATTTTGTCGAAAGAGAATACATATGTAATTTATAATTTTTAGGGCCCTCATTATTAGGAATTATTTACATGCATCCATCTAAGAAATTTATATTGAAAATAATACAGAAATGCATTTGATTTTTGTATGGCAATTACTATCTTTTATACGCTTTATTTTATTAATACGTATATATATATTTCTATGCAACCACCATAGTAAAACTTTAAACAAGTGACGTTCACGTTATTAAACAAATGACAAGAAGTTATGTAATTCGAAAAAGCATGAATTTGAAAATTGTCTCATATAAATTCTAATCTCAGTAACATATACGTTTGGTATTTGAACCTGATGTAGTACAATATGTGTTTCATCCCTGCAACAGATCACATTATTTCTCGATACTTATGGAAGATTAATAAGAGAATTTAAACAAGTAGAAGTTCTGGAAGGGAGAAATTGTTATTATAATTTGACTCAAGCTATATAACACAATTGGTACATTATAACGTAGAAGCAGATTGAAATAGCAAGACACAAATATATATTTTGTACATTGATGATGTCACGAGGTATAGCCGCACGAATTACACTTGAGAATCTCTCGCGGGCGACACCTGTTTTTTCAATAAATTCGCAAATACACGAATGATACATCGCGTTGGGAACAAGCAGGATCCACGGTAAGGATTGAATCAAAGAAAGAAATTACCGTAAAATCGTCTTGAACAATAATAAAATGAAAATAACTCATAACCTTAATACAATGCTTTCTGTTGAAAGTCCTATCGTCTAGCGGCGCCACTATCAAGGAATCGCAGTCTCTGATAGACTTTGCCGTGTAAGGAACTTTCGTCGCCTATTTAATGTAAATATTACATTTGTTGAGAATTTAGAGTTTATTTTAGCATACATAAGTTCGAAATTATCGTTCGTGTTCCCTGTGCAATTCATTGCTGGGCGTCATTCCGTAATATCTCCCGTTCAGCCGAGATCGGCAATAACCAAAAAATCTCCGTAGGTATTCTTTTTTTCCTTCATAATCGTTGATCTTTTTCTTATTCCTCTTTAAAATCAGATTTTCTATCGTACCCCATCGTTCTCTGTACCATTTCTAAGAGGAGTTTACAACTTCATCGAGATTTTCATGGATTATGTGACGTTTACTGTTTAGAATAGTACAGTGATTAATTTTTGTTCACCAGCCAATTGTTGCATGTAATAATAAATTAAATTCAATGTTCTGTGTCCTTTTTGAGTATTCGGCTCGTCAATTCTCATTCGAAGAAACATCTCGCGAAGTTATTTTCTTGAGAGCATGCAGGAGTTTTAGAAGGATAAAGATGGTTTCTTCTTATATTCTTAACTATTTACTAAGAAATGGCAATGCTCGAAGTGTATTATTTATACATTAGACTGGTCAAGAAACACGTCTGCGTGTATGTGTACTTTGTAAATTTAATTTTGGCTTAATATATATTTGCAGCAGACGTATGCATATATGTAATGTTAAATATGTCTGTAAGATCTAATAATTATGTTATTCTTATTTCATATACTCCCTTATCTGTGATAGAAAGTTCACTAGTCTGTACTTATCGTGCCCCGTTGTTCTGATACGAATGTCGTAAATAAAATCACGTTTCATTCTAAGTGCTTCCATAATTAAGCTACATATTTTATCTGCATTTATATATTATCTGTATTTTTATATATATATATATATATAGTCACATGACTTGTTTATGCATCCACATACACACAGAGACACTTACGTATGGCATATACGATACAGGCTTCAATTGTATTTTATTTTGTCATGATAAACATAGATCAGAACGATTTATCGGTGCAATAATGGAATGATCACTAAGATTCTTCATTGTTTCATTACAGATGATTATCTGAAATAATATATCAAGATCTACTTATATCTCTAAACTCTTGATCAATTCTTTGAGAGAGGTTCAGGGAGTAAAATACGAAAAATGAGGGTTGTCGCACTAGTCAGTGGTGGTAAAGATTCTTGCTTTAATATGATGCAATGTATAGCTGCTGGCCATGATATCGTGGCACTAGCTAATTTGTATCCAGTTGGAAAGGGTAAATACCAGACAACAAAGCAGATCAGTCTATTTAAATATTAGGTAATAACTGATGAAACACATAACTTATAGATGAACTAGACTCATTTATGTTTCAAACTGTTGGATACCAAGGTGTCGAATATATTGCCGAAGCTATAGGCTTACCAATGTATCGCGAGCCAACGTTCGGTAGATCGAAAATGCAAGAGAAATATTATTATCCAACACAGAACGACGAGGTCGAAGACCTTTTCAGATTGTTGAGTAAAGTGAAGGTAACTTACAAGAGATGTGTTCGACATCGTTTCCGTTCAATACATTTCAATTATTCATAGATCCAATCTCGAATTTGTAGGAGAAAGAGAACGTGGAAGCTGTTTCATCGGGAGCCATTCTGAGCGATTATCAACGAATCCGTGTGGAAAATGTGTAATTATTTAATGGCAAATTTTTAAGTATTTAACGAATCGATTGATTGTAGAACCTAGACTTCGTTCATTCGAATGGAAAAACATCTAATAGCCAAAGTCTATTTCCAGGTGTAGTCGTTTAGGTCTCATTTCTCTGTCGTATCTATGGAGGAGAGATCAGGACGTACTGTTCAAGGAAATGATAGCGAGTTCTGTGAACGCAGTTATAATTAAGGTTGCAGCGTTAGGCCTTGAACCTAGGCATTTGGGGAAATCACTTTCCGAAATGCAATCCCACCTTGCCAAAATAGTGAGTAAAACGTCTTAATGATTAAGTAAATACAAAAGACTTTCGTTCGATGTTATCTCACGTTGGAAGTGCTCCAACTCTAAATAGTTCTTTAACAATTATATATGAAATGAACGTGTTTAAATTGTAAACAAACGTGCTTTATATTAATGGGTGAATACTTGTTCGTAGAAAGAAAAGTACGGTGTTAATATATGCGGAGAAGGTGGAGAATACGAAACTTTTACGTTAGATTGTCCATTGTTTAGTAAAAGTATTATAATGTGAGTTGCTTAATTTGTGTTATATAAACGTAAAGTGAAACTCGGTACATATGTTTTTTTACTTATTTCAGAGACGAATATGAAAGTGTAATCCATTCAAACGATAACATAGCGCCTGTTGGTTATTTGAATTTTAAAAAAATTCACGTTCAAGACAAAAATGTGAGCAAAGAACAAACTAAGAATGGGTTTGAGTGATCCGATAATAAAAAATTCCAATTATTTTTAGGATGGTATTGAAGGATTAACGTTACAAGAAAGATTAAAAAATGTTCCTATTAAAACCCCATCCGATTACATTGCAGAGATAATTGGCCCAGAATTGCACGACGGTTGCAATTTATCTGAGGATGAAAACGACGAACATGATTGTACAGGCAGTAATCTAAAGTCTTCGAATTCTGGTATTGATTTCTCTCCAAACGAAATCTGTATTAAATCTCGTTGTCGCGTATCCAGGTGAAATGAACGAAACGTAAAATTACGCAGGTCAATTCAATCCACCGAGTCCAATGGAAATTTTATACGAAGAAGAGGACTACCCAGACGCACCGGTAGTAAATAGAAACCAAACCGGCTGGTTCTGGTTTGGCGGTATCGCTGGAAAGAATCCGGACGCGAAATCTGCGATGCGAGAGGCATTGGAGAAATTAAGCAGTAGGTAAACTTTAAGTTTTTCAAACCATCTTTTGGTTAATTTTTTTCTTGATATGATACATCGACGTAACTCGAATTCGATGTCGACCGACGCTAAATACGTTTCGTTCATCCAGATCTAGTCAAAAAGGAGAATTTACAAATATCGGACATCGTCGCTGTAACGTTATACATAAAAGATATGTCGAATTACGTGTCTATAAACGAGGCATACATGTCGTGCTTGAGCAAGACGAACCCACCTGTCCGCGTATGCGTGGAGTGTCCGTTAAATATACACGTCGTGCTTGATGCTATAGCCTATAAAGAAACTCAAGACTGCGGTGATAAGAAAGTTCACAAACGACACACGATGCATGTTCAGAGCATAAGTCACTGGGCACCCGCAAACATCGGTCCTTACTCTCAAGCCGTTCGTGTGAGTTTACTACCGTTACAAACCAATTTGCATGCGCGCCTCTCTATCTATACGTAGACGATACCTAGCTTATTTGCGCGCATTTCGTATATTCACGATACGTGCACGCACACACATCTGGTTTACAGAATGAAACGCGAGGTAAACAAAATAACATTTCTTAGAATGAGTAAGAAATATCAAATCAAACATTCATTGATAATTCTAATATCTATTTTGATATACACGATTGACGTACACGTTCAAGAAAGGAATATCGTATTTTCCTAAACATAGATGTGTCCAAGTTGTGTGAGATACTTTTGGTTGACGCGAGATAAACGAAGAGTTGTAACGAAATGAATTTATTCGATACAGGTGGGTGATATTATCTCAGTCGCTGGACAAATACCGTTAGTGCCTGGTAGTATGACTATACTGGACTTAAATATTAAAAGGCAATGTCGGTTAACGTTGAGGCATATAGATCGTATCGTTAAAGCTATGGACTCGAATACGCAACTCAGGGATATCGTGCAAGGTATTTGTTTCTTGACTCATTCTAGTTATATACCGGACGCACGAAAGGAATGGGAGAAGCGAACGAATAACGCCATCGTGGATTACATCGTTGTACCCAATCTTCCACGCGGAGCACAGGTCGAATGGTGTGTTTGGGCTCATAGAGATAATAATAGGTTCGAATGTAAGTATGAAGGGAAGACTGAAGCTTTCTCATCGATCAACACTCTATATATATATATCTCTTTTTCTCTCAAAAATTATCTTATTACAGACGAAGAGACTGGTAAATGCGTAGGTAATTTCAAAGTGGCGATAAGGCGTAGGTGGAATTATGAAAATAACGTTTCAGCGATTGTGTGTTACATGTCCACTGGTACATATCTTTGTCTGAGTATCACCGCACACTCCGTTCGTGTAAACTGATAAAAAAAGATTCTATCCTGATTAGGTTCATCGAATTCAACTGGTAATTTAGCCACGGAAACGAGTTTGCCCTCTACAGAATTAACGGTAGACGAACTGACAGAGGCGTTCGAATATGTACTGTGTAAGCTCACGAAGGGATCCCAGACCGTGAATCCGACGTGCAATCTACGCATCTTCTACAAAGTCGGCAGTTCGCCGGGGCTGAATTTTGTTCAGGACGTTATTTCGAAATTTTCTACACGGAACTTAGTCACTACCATTATACCAGCAACGCACTTACATAATTTCAGTACATTTTTATCTATATGTGGCATCAGACACGAGTAAAGCCTAACGATACAGTTTTTACGTTGTCAATTATTTACAGAACTACATTTTCTCGTTTCGTAAAAAAGAAATGATCGAAATGATTTTGTTCGTCGTTTAAATTATTACAACCAGTGGATATGAGAGCCGAGGATCGGAATCGATTTCAGTACGGATCATACGCGGAAATTATATACTCTACCACAGTTGTGGAACTTTCTATATTCTAAAGGATAATTGTTTAGCGGTATCGAATATAAACGTTATTTTTCACCTTTTCTACTGGTCGCTTGTTGGGTTTGCTCAGAATTCACGTGACTATCTGTCAACAGTGTATTTATATTCGGCTAGTCAACGGGACTTTAGTGATTATCAACGATCATTTCTCGTCTCGTTAGTATAAGTGTTCTATACGTAATGCAAAACACGTTGTCGCCTCGTAACGTGTACTGTATGCTACGCCTCGTTTTTTGCTCAAGTTACTTATTTTTTATTTTTCACAATCTCACGATACGCGCGGAGTGTTAAGTGTGTGGATTTTATGAAAAAAAAAAAAATTTCTCAAAGCGTGCACAGCCATTTTTATAGTAGCGTTCGAACCGTGAACGCAAGACGAATATCAGACGTATTAAGGAAACCCGTAAATTCTAACATCGGATATGAACAAAACTTAGTTTCTGCCCTTTCTATTATTAGTTTTAAATGAATACCTACGTACGAAAAGAGAAACAAATTGAAAGGTGTGCGGAAATTCAAAACACGCATCTCTCAACGATTCTATCACTTCTAAAATGCTGCCGATGTTGTTCCGCTACCATTTAAAACTTTCAATTCTAACGGCAGACACGTAGCTTTGCAAAAAAAATATATATATAAATGGTATCTACTTCGCAAACGAATACTGTGTAAAATCCTCGGTAGTTTTTACTGATCTAATACTTTAGAAATGCATTCCTGTACAAAAAAAAGGAGACGATATCGCTATGTATTAGAATATTTTCGACGGTATAAAGATTCGTGCAACGATACGCCAAAATATTTTCCGATTTGGTCATTGTTTCAGCGATTTTAATACCATTACTTTGTTTTACTGTATATATTACCGAATAGCCCAATACCGTGCGATGTATTATAAAATGTAATTATAGTTTCTAAAAAAATGAAATGGCAATTGGTCATCACTTATGTGTGGATGTTAAGATAAATTTCTGATACGAGGAATAGGAAGCATATTGTTCATGACGTGAATGCTGCGTTACTATAAATATGTAAAAAGTATATTTACAAGGCATACGACTCTCGCAACAAAATACTATTCCGAGGATTATATTGCAAAGAAAAATAAAGAAAGTGATATATATTTTTAAGAAACGACTGTTCGTTCCTCACATTTTATTACATTCCTCCCTTGCCTCCGCACTACAAACCTTCGGTTATCTTTAAAAAATCTATGACGCTGGTTATACAATTGTTAAGGGGTCCTCTTGTAAATTTAAGTTAACTGTTGAAAATTCACTTATTTATATAACGAATGTAATTATTAAAAAAAACAGCACCTTATATGTACATACATTTAAAGGAAATGTTAGAGATTATCGTAAAATTTATATAAATATAGTAAGCAGTCTTCCGATAATTAATTCTTACTGACAATTCTCTCTCTTAAATAGATAAATTATGAACATAATTCGTGTTTCCAAAAAAAGAGTTTGTTCATTTTACAGCGATGATATGTTAACAAAAAAGACGGCTCATTTTGAAAAAGAATAATTACATAGAAATTTATAGAATATTTAAAATTCTCACCTAACATCAAAGGTGACTCCTTTTATTCTAAATTTCATAATGCGGCTTTGAATGAGTCAATCATACAGTTATATACATTCGAATTCGTACGGAACGCGTATCATTCTAAACGAACCACATTAATGATCACGATGGAATCCACAATTATTGTACGTACAGATACAAATTGTTTACATACACGATTCGCATCTTTTATACAGTTTTCGAGCTCCGATTATAAATCTGATGCACTTTGCATTATCGTTTACGTCTTCAATGTTTTCGATACGAACGGTTTTACTATCTGCTGGCGATTCGATGCACAGAAGTCACATAGATAATTTTTCCTGTCTAACAAGAGTCCCTTGGTCTCCACGCAACCTGGAAATAAATACCGTTTGCATCAAGGAACAATATTTTCGGTACGAATATACATATGTAATATTGGTATACGTATAAAACAATCGGAGAAGATTCCTGACCTGAAATCTTTCATACCTATGGTATATGCTTAAACTCGTTTTCGAAAACAAATATTTGATGAAACCCACACATGCAAATGCAATGAGAATGGCATGCAATGACGTAGTGGAATCATATGAAATTTGTGTCAGTACCTAAGTGCAGATATTTGTCACATGCGCTGCAATGTACTAGATTCGTTTCCAGGTCGAGTCTTGGGGCAGTATGACAGCGACTGCAGTGGGGGCAATAGCGACCCTTTCGCCATAGCCTTGTTAATGCACAAATATCACGGTGTTAGTGAACTCGGATAAAATGAACGCCGAAATTTAGTATAACCGATATACGTGGACCTTGGATCATTCTTCGCTCCATTTAATCATGCTTTAAGGCATTGCAGAAAATCTTCTTAACTCCCACACGTTGTTAATCGATCAATCAATTTGTTATGTATTAAGTTTATTAAAATCTGAAGTGTCAGAATCTTACGAGCGACAGATGTTAATTTAAACAATGTTTTTACAAAAGGGTTTCGGTGTGGATTAAGGAAAAGATCGTGAAGCAGTAATGAAGCCAGGTGAAAACTCGTAGTACGTGTTCGTCGCGTTTTCACACGTACAATACACCGCAGGATGATTAAGAAAAAATGAACTGAAATGCACTTACTTGGAACATGGAACGCACAACGTCGAAACGTAAACACGAGTATTCTTATCCCCCTTCTTGTACTCGTGCTGCCATTGAGCAACACTGTTCCTGTCGGAATTTACGCCTCCAGCTTCTCTCGAGCCACAATTTGCACAAACCGCGCATTCTTGGCAGTGCCACCTCCCTTGTGGTACGCGTCGGAGTCCGACACAATAAATATGATATCTAACAAATTTTAAATATCACATAATGTCTGTTCTTATGTATCTATAAAAGAGAAATTAAGAGCCTCACCCTCTATCGCACATGTCGCAAAAGAGCATTTTGTCCTCGTCGGCAGGATCGTGACATTGTGCACAAGTTTTACAATCCGTGCACTGCCACGCATACGACTGGATGTGTGGAACCATGTCCAGCGTCAGGTCTATACATGACGGATGGACTATAATAGAAACATTTTAATTTAGCCAGCATAAAACTCTGAAGAAAAAGTAATGTAGAGATAATTACCATGCCCATTACACGTGCCGCATTGGATCAATACTTCGTTTTTACTGTGCTTATTTATAGTCTTCAAACACATCTTACATTTCAATTTTATCTCATCCTTCTGATGAGCTATTTCCATATCCACATCATCCATCGTCGACTGAGAACCTTCGGTATCCTGCGTTCCCTCGCTAGAAGATGAACTATATCAAAAGTAGGAAACTATCCGTTTGCTAAATTTATCGAACAGAACGTTAACTAAAAGGGAACGAACCTGGAATCGTCCGACGACGAATCGCTGTCGCTGTCGCTCTGAGATCCCTCCGACTGGCTATCGAATTTACGCTCGTTCGGTCTCATCGGACCGTAAAGGACGGTGTTTAAAGGATAATATCGTAATTCTGCTGGCGTGTATTCACGGTAATAATCCGTGTATTGACCCGGTATAAGAGCAACGGGATAGTGACCGATCCTTCTTTCCGCGTCAACTTTCTGCTGTTTTTTTGGCACGTGTATCGTGAAAGTCTGTAAATCTAAGCTACATTTCCTGCTCTCTCGCCGAGCTTTGTTCAAACTGATGTTCCAAGACAGCGCGGACTGAACAGCCATCTCTGCCAGGTCGATCCTGTTCTTCTCCGCGTTCGCAGCCGCCGTTAGCTCTTTCTGTTTCTTGGAATGTTCCTTCACTTGTTTCTCGCGCATGTGTTTCCGATATTCCTCGTATTGATCAGGAAAATCGCTGCACATTACGTCCAATACTTCTGAACTGCATATAGCTGTTAAACCTGTGACCGCATTAAAAATTATGTACGACAGATTGCGAGACGTGTAATACAAAGTAAATATAGATAACGTTTTACGATCGGCGACTTACCCATGTCGCACATCGCCTCGCTCACCAGTCCGTTCTCTCTCAAATAATTTCTCTCCTCCATGTCCACTACTCTTCTCTTCAGATCTGGGTACTTCCTTTTGAAAGATTTCACTCCAAGGTATTGAGATATTTGCTCCTGTATCATGAAAGTTTCACCCTTGCGATCCAGTGGCCATTCATATTCAGCAATCTTGTCAACGGTAAATGGACCTTCGTCTGGATCAAAATTAATTTCCATCCTTCGATTTTTCACTTTCACTTTCTCTGACTCTGTAGTCGCCGTGCTGAGTACACTTCCTTGAGACTCCTCGTTCACTATCGTCTCAGAGGCTGCAACAATCGTTAATAAAATGCAATGTATTGCAATTAAAACCTAACCAACCGTCTTACCGTCAAACATATCAGATTCCTTAAGATGAAAACGTTATAAAAAGATAGAATGTGCGCGATTTAAAAATAGAACACTTATCATTACGATCTGAAAATTATGTGCAGCCTAGCATCCATTATGATTTGAAGTAAGAGAAGATTCCCTGCTTGAATTAAATACATCTATTTCAGATTTAGGTACTTGAGAGATGTTAGGACACAAGAAAAGGTCTATTTATAGACACCTTGCTTGGAGGTCTACCAATACATTTGTCTTTTAATTTAGTGTATTCATATGATGTCTATACTTTCTACACAGCTTCCTCTCATATTACATCTTGCTTCAACGAAACTTACGTATAAAATATACGGTTTATGTAATATACATGTACTATAATTCACATACGAACTACATCATAAAGATAAGGCTGCTCGCAAAGATAAATGTTAATAGAGGTAGAAGATAGCGCGATCGCTGTTAGTCAAGTTATAATAGAAAACGTGAACCATTTGAACGAGTCACGAAGATTCGTACCTGGGGCAGAAATATTCCTGGCTGGCGTTTGAGACCTCGAGCCCGACTCAGAGCTCATCCTCGTTTCCTCGTCAATCACTTGAACCGTTGAAACGTTCGTGACACCTTCTACGACTCGTTTCGAAGTTGGCGTCAACCAGTTAGAATGACCCGGTGGTACCAGCATGTCAGATTTCTCCGGCGATTTTTTAACACCGTCTCTCATCTCATTTGATACTGGCCTGGGCAGTCGTATCTCCGGAATCTTATTAATCTCAGTTTGCATACCAGTGGAATCTAAAATATTAATTAAATTCGTACCCAGTGCTCCATCGTTCTTTCCTCTCGTCATTGTTTCATCGACTTTACCCGGAGAATTAGCAATTTTCGAATCCATCGCCGGTTGCTTGAGCGCTTTGTATAACTCCGGTGATTTCACGAAAGGTTCCTGGTGTATTCCGGGATCATCTAGCGTAATTACAGCCGTAGTCGAGGCTTCTATTGCACTCAAGTCTTGCTCTATCCTCGCTTTCTTCGATAGCTGAGAATCAGCGTTGTCCAGTTTCCTTTTCCCTCGACCTAATGAGCGAACAAATGATAAAAAGAAACATGTATTAAAAAGAAACTCAGAGAAAGTGGTATAAATGTTTTACTTTACGAAAAATGCAAACCTCGCCCTCTGCCTCTTTTAGGAGGCGCATAACTCTTCTGACTTCTACAAGTCCTCTTAGGTCTCTCGTTCTCCCTGGACTCCGGGAAGCGCGGCACCTGAGGCTGTGCCACTTGTTGCGCATCGTCTACAGCTAAAGGATCCTTAGATATTAACAAATGTGACTGCGGATGACGATGCACGACTGTCTGTGGTAACGGGGTTCTCCTGGGCCTGCCTCGTCTCTTAGGCACTTTAACTTCTGGCAGTCTTTTCGAAGATACCTCTTCTATAATCATGACATCCTGGCTAGAGTTCGAGTTCTCGTTGACTATTATCAATTCCGGTCGATGCTCTATAATCTCGCAGTCGGAATTGAGCGGTGAAGCGGTCGCGTTCTTCGCCAACATATGCTTCAGTTTCTCGCTCATGTTAGCGTCGCTCAGCTTCTGCGGCCTCACTTGGGTAATACTGATCTCTTGATTTATAACGTTCATCTGTTGAAGACTGATCTTCGGGTCAAAAGGAAACTGCTTCTGATCTCTGGACGTCACAGGTTGAATAGTCACTTCTGGCAGCATCTGATTGAACTGCGCTTCGAGCTTCGTCTTCTTCGGTTCGATCGGCGAGATAGTGATATCCTTGCGTTTCGGCGGTATTTCATGGACGTTCTCCGGTTTCTTCCCCGATTGCACCGGTTCGATCGTCAGTTCCGAACGACTGCTTTGCAAAATGGTCGAATGGCTAGTTTTAAGAATCTTCAGCGCCGGTTCCTTGTGGCCTGTTTGTCCGGCATCCTTGTATCTCGAATCCGCGATTTCCTTGGGCTTGTATGCAGTTTCCGACTGATTGTCACAAGCGACGATCGTCGCGTGACCCGTTTTCGATAGCTTGATCCTCATCTCCAAAGGCGATTCGGTGTCTCGGCGTCTCTGTTGTCTGTCCTTCTTTTCCGAGTCCACTATGGAAGCATCCCCGGTTTTTAACAGTTTTATCTTCATGCCTGAAGAAGCATCGGTACTTTTAGAATGTTCTGACTCGGTAATCCTTGTAGTTTTATTCGCGTCTTCCGACGATTCAGGCTGTACAATAGAAGCGTCGCCAGTTTTTGATAATTTGATCTTCATTCCGAAAGGAGATTCTGTCCGCTTCGGTGTATCCTGAAGAAGTTTGCTGTCCTCCGATTGTTCCTGCTTCTCCGAAGGGACTATGGACGCGTCACCAAATTTTGATAGTTTGATCCTCATACCTAACGGCGATTCAACTTTCGGCAGAGCTTCTTGCCCCGTTTCCATTGACTCTTCCTCCTCCCTTTGCCCGATCGTCTCACCGTGCTGCACTTCGTTCAACTTCGTAACTCTTATCTTCACTCCACCCGGTGTTTCCAATGTTCTTGAATCTTGAGCGACGTCTACCTTTTCTTTAATCTCGTCTAATAGCTCCGAGTGAACGATAGATGCGTCCCCGGTCTTGGAGAATTTAATTTTCACCCCAAGCGGGGATTCCGTTCTCTTCGGGACATCGGGAACTTCTAACTTGTCTTTCGACTCCTCGGAATTCTCCATGGGTATTATAGAAGCACCACCCTTCGTTTTAGCCAGTTTGATTTTCATACCGCTCGGGGAATCGGTTCTCCTCGAAATTTCCGTGGGCGATTCCAGTTTGTCTCTCGCCTTGCACGCATCCTTGTTCTCGTCTGGTAAATCAGGAGAAATGATCGATGCATCTCCGGTTTTGGATAGCTTGAACTTCATTCCTATCGGGGAATCAGTTCTCTTCGGCGAATCTGTTCTCTTGGGAGAATCGTAACACGACTCAAGCTTCTCCTTCGGTTTTATTTGCGCGTTATCTTTATAATCTTCTGGGAGATCTGTTTGAATTATCGAAGCGACACCGGTCCTTGAAAGTTTCATCTTAACGCCAATTGGAGATTCGGTTCTCTTTGGACTTCCCTGAACCATGTCCAGCTTTTCCTTATGTTTAATCTCTTTACTGTCTGGTTGCACTATAGAAGCATCGCCGCTTTTTGAGAATTTGATTTTCATTCCGATCGGTGATTCCGTTCGCTTAATTTCTTCGTACTTGTGTTTACTTTCCTTCAAATCGTCGGTTGATTCATGCTTCTCCGAAGAGACTATAGACGCGTCTCCACTTTTGGAGAACTTTATCTTCATGCCGATGGGAGACAGCGACGACGAGCCTTCCGAGTACCATTGGCCAACTTCCTCGGTGTTCTCGTTAGATATTATGGAAGGATGACCACCCTTGGACAACTTCAATTTTATCTTTCCCAATTTCTGACCCGGACTGTCTTCAGGGTTCGGCGAATTGGCCGCCGACCTGATCTTTGGACTCTTAGGGGATCTCGGTTCACCACAATCGGTGATCGCAGACTTCGCTATCTTTAAAATGATTCTCGGAGATCCGACGTTCTCGAAGTCATGCTTCTCAGAGTCTTTCCGCGGGGTTTCTGTTATCTTCGATTCCGATTTATCAGACATTTTCGGTGACTCCAGCATCCGTTGATAAGCCATCAGTTTCGCATCCTTTTGAATTAGAAGACTGTCTTTGGAAGTAGTCGGAGATATGGAGACTTTTGTCATGTCCGTAGCCGGAATCTCTATTTTAGGTGGCTCTCTCAGACGTTCCTCTAAGATCGAAACTTTTGGTAGGGACTCAGTTGTCTTCAAAACAGTCTGACGTAAAGGTATCATTCTCTCGGGATCTTCTTTTACAGACTTGAAACTCGGTGCCTGTGGTATGTCAACGCTCTCCAAAGACTCTGTCCCGAACTTACTTTCTAGACTTTCAGCAGTATCGTTCGCCTCTTTATTCGTCTCAAATTTATCCTGCATCGCGTCTATTTTAATTTGTTCGGCGAGCTTTCTCTCGCTTTCTAGTTTTGCAGCTTCCGAGATGATCTCCGCCTCGGAAATTGCTATCGAGTCCGTCGCGATGCTTTGCAATTCTGGATCCAGTTCGTCCGAATTTCGGCACATGTCTTCGTCAGGTACGAACAGAGCTGGCCCATCTGCTCCGTCTACGACGCTTTCTACCATCTTTGGAGATAATATCAAGGGAGAATCCATGGCTTGTTCCTCGGATTCTTGAAGAAACTTAACGGCCGATTCGAGTTCAGATATTTCGGAACTGGGTTCCGATGCCTCTAACGCGGATGGAGCATCGTTTAAATTATCACCCTGATCTACGTTCTCCAATAAAATATCTGAGGTCAGTTCGAGTTTGGTTTCAGTCTCTTCGAGATCTGCCAATGATTGCAGTGGAGCTTCATCGACGTCCATGTCCAGTTCATTTTCCGACAATTCGGTAACATCTCTTATCTCAACCTTGTCTTCAGATTCAGGAACTATACTTTCTCCTACTCTCAGTATATCGTCAATTGCTGCTTCGTCGTTTTTATCTTCCTCGATTTCTTTAACTGGTTTTGCTGTATCGTCTTCCAACGGTACAGTATCTCTGTTCGTAGAACAACTACTGATCGTGTATGTTACGTGATTAGAAGCCTGTGCTATGTCAGGAGTGTGTTTCGATTGTTCCAATAAAAGACTCATATCTTCCACTTTGGATAGCTGTTCTGTCTCTTGAAGTCCGTCTTCAGATTTCGTTGCTTTCGATAACGATTCTTCTTCTTCCTGTATCAAGTCCAGATCTAACAATCCTTCCAGGGAGTCCACGTTCTGTGTTGGCATAGTGTCCTCCGTCTCTTTACTTAAAACATCCTCTTGGGGTAGTTTTTCTGTAAATTCTTCGACTTCAGTCTCCGCCTCGGGCAAGTCCCCAGATTGCTGAAATGCATTTATTTCGTGGGCTACGCCCTTCTCTGTGCTTAAAATATTTTTGAAATCAGTCGAGGTTTTCACATCGTCTAGGGTACTTATAACGATGTTCTGCGTATTTTGGCACTGTTCTCCAGAGAATACCTCTTTCACGTCATCGACATTTCCTAAATTATCTTTATTAGTCTCTCTTCTCGTGTCATTTGCTCTCAATTCTTGGTTATCCGGCAATTCTACACTCCTGCCCAGATTTTGCTCTTCGACATCATCGGCTTTTACAGATTCCTCAACATCAGTTATTGATTTGAATGAATCTTCAATATCGACGTCCATTTCTACAGTGGAATTTCCTTGATTTGCTTCGACAATTTCCGTAGCGGTTTCAGTATTCTTTTCATTTCGCATCATATCCTCGGACTCGACCTCGTCAGGCTCCAAGGTCAAAGTCATTTCCTCTTCCATATGATCCTCCTTCGAATCTTCTTCGGCTACGATGATATCCGAGCACTCTAAAGGTGAAAATGCATCTTCGTGGCTGAAGTTTATATCAGAAATTGTACTTTTTTTGTTAGTAGCGAACATATTTTTCTCTGCTTTCACATTTAATTCCACTACGTTCTGTTTAGTTTGTTCTGAAAAATTTCTTTCGTCAAGATTAAAAACGCTTTCATTATTTTCTAGTTCATTAACTTTACCTTCCACTTCCGTTGATCGTTCCTCCTCTACGAAGAATTTAGAATTAGATTCTATTTTAACATCCTTCTCCTCTGCTTGTTTTTCAATCCTATTTTCTTCCTCTACTTGCGTTTCCGTTTTAGCCTCTTGTGTTTCTGTTTTAACTGTTTCCTTCCCATCCCCAATCTCCATTTCGATTACTTTCTCCCCTTCCGTCTGCATTTCCTCTGTTTTCTCTTTTTCTCCTTGTCTTTCAACTATTTCAACTTCCTCCGCTGGTTTTCCAGCTGCTGCCTCTTCTTCTGATTCTCCTATTTGCCCTTCATCCACTGGCCTTTCAGCTGTTGTGTCTTCTTCTGATTGTCTTTCAACTATTTCCTGTTTCTCCATTTGTTTTATACTTGTTTCCAGTTCATCTGTTTGTTTCGTAACTACCTCCTCTTCCTCCTGTCTTACAACTATTTCTCTACTATCACTTTCCTTTTCTACTACTTCATTTCCTTCCTTTGCTTGTTTTTCGATTATTTCTTTTCCTTCTAGTCTGTGAAATTCCTCTTGCCTGATAACTGTTCTCTCCTCTTCTCCCGACTTCTGAACTATGTCTACGTGCTCTGTCTGCTTCATAATTATTCCTGCCTCTTCTGCCTGTTTTTCAACTGTATCCACTTGTTCCGTTTGTTTTAGAACTATTTCCTCTTCTTCCATTTGCTTCTCAATTATCGCCTTTTCCTCTTTCGTTTGTTTTACAACTGTGTCATCTGTTTCCGACTGCCTCATTTCTTCTCCTGCTATTTGCTTTTCGACTGTTTCCTCATTTTCTGATTGGCTTACCACCATTTGCCCTTCTTCTGTTTGATTCTCAGCTATCCCCTCGTACTTTTCAATTGTTTGTTCTTTTTCTATCTGATTTTCAACTATCTCCTCTGCTTCATTTATTTGTTTTTCAGTTACCTCCTCGTCTTCTTCTTGTTCTTCACTTACTTCTCCATCTGCCTGCTTTTCGACTGTTTTCTTCTCTTCGATTTGTTCTTTTTCTTTTACTTGCTCTACAAGTATCGTCCCTCTTTGCTCTTCATCATTTATTGCATTTTCTCCTGTAACTTCTACCTTGACTCTGTCTTCTTCAATAACTCGTTTATTAGATTGATTTCCTTCAATAAGGAAAGGTTCTATTTTAGGTTCATCCTCAGTGATGCAAGTTTCAGTCACAGATTCAGCATTTTCATCTACTTCCATCTCAGACTGTTTCATCACCACAGTTTCTTTTATCACTTCAGTGTCAATTTTCTTTTCTTCCAATATTCCCCCTTCGACATTTGTGTCAGAGGTAGTTACAGTAATAGTTTCTTTCTCACACTGCAGAATATCATTAATAGGAGTATTTACTTCACATTCCTTGGGAACATCCTTTGCATCTTCCGAAATTACAGATGATTCTTCTTCATAGTTAGCTGCTGTACAATTGTCAGATGAATCTACTTGTATATTGGTTAATTCTTTATTTTCCACTGTCTCAGAGCGAACATCTTTTTCTACAGGAATCCTATCAGCAGTTAAGGTATCTTCTTTTCCTGGAACGTTAGTTACGTCTTCTCGCGACAGAATTTCGTTACTACTTTTACTTCCAGAAGACATTAAAGAGATTTCATTAGAAGTAGTCGTTAAGCTTAATTCTTGTTCGTCGTTATAACTCGATTCCTGGGAATCCTCTGAACTATAAGCCTCGCCGATTAATTGCAAACTTCCACAAATACTGTTTTCTTTTCTTATTACAGTTACTTCACTATTCACAACGGTTGTTTTAACATTAACGTTCTCTTGTTTAATTACATTAGATCTATTTACATTGTCGTTAGTGAATACAGACTTCGAGTCACTCGACGAGCCACACTTTTTCATTACACTCAGTTCACAAGTGTCCCTCGTGTCCTTTTCTTGTACATTCAACTGCAATCCTTTTCCTAAACTATTCTTATTACTAAGTTGAGAGTTTTCTTTAGTCGACAGTTCGACATCACTCGTTAAACTAGATCCTTTACTCTTAACTACATTTGTATTTTGCATATCCACTTGTTTCTCCATTGTTTTCTGGCACGAATCCGTTTTCGTTTCTGTAATCATCTGGGAAAGAGCAGCAATCTCGCTCTCCAAAGTGGAGTCACCAAGAGGTTCCAGACGTTCCGAATGAACACCAATTATATCATTAATATCCATGATGCTTAGAACTTCGGTGTCATAGGTTTCGGAATCGCTATCGATGCAGTAAGGAATAGAACGGTTAGGTGAACCTTCTTTAGTTTCTTTCTTCGTTTCGTCCTTCGAGCCAAATAGGCCCATCTTAGGACTCACGGGCATTGTTTTGATGTTCAACGCAAGGTGTATTAAACCCGCGGTCGCTGCCCAGCTGCCACGCCGATGTTGTCTCTAGAAACATGAAGCACGGCGACGCGGACGGGATCCTTATTCTCTACAACGTCCAGCACTCTGGTTCTCGAACCGTTGGCACGATATCATCGTACCTAAACGATTTTACGTACCGCGGCATTGAGGTCTATTTGTTTTCACTTACTGGCCCGCGTACATAATCCACAATCTCATTGATTGTTTCCAATTTTTAAAATACTCAATGATGGCTGCTCAACGGCACATTGCGACGATTGCGACTGCATTGCGACTGCGAGCAGTGTTGTAAGTTTCGAGGAATTTCGATTATAGCGCGCATAGCGCCGCCCATTGAGGAATAATGAAACTTAGGTTTCATTTGGGCATTATTAGACATGTCCCCAATGATTATGGGTAACGTAAGCGGGGACAAAAAAAAGTAGTGGAGGACAACTCGGGAACAGGAGAAATCCTACATTCTGAAATTCTGACGTCCCTGCTCGTTGCCATCGCGTATACAGCCAGTAACAACGAAACTGAGCCAGCTATGTGCATGTGTTAGTCCTCCCTAGGGAGAAAAAATTCAAAACGAGTAAGAAGCCAACTTATTTTTTCGATGCTTACATAATTTCAGTACATTTTTATCTATATGTGAAATCAGACACGAGTAAAGCCTAACGACACAGTTTTTACGTTGTCAACTATTTACAGAACTACATTTTCTCGTCTCGTAAAAAAGAAATGGTCGAAATGATTTTGTTCATCGTTTAAATTATTACAACAATTTCCATATTCACATCGTCGACTGAGAACCTTCGGTATCCTGCGTTCCCTCGCTAGAAGATGAACTATATCAAAAGTACGCAACTATCTGTTTGCTAAATCTATCGAACAGAACGTTAACTAAAAGGGAATGAACCTGGAATCGTCCGACGACGAATCGCTGTCACTGTCGCTCTGAGATCCCTCCGACTGGCCGTCGGATTTACGCTCGTTCGGTCTCATCGAACTGTAAAGGACGGTGAGTAGAGGATAATATCGTAATTCCGCTGGCGTGTATTTGCGGTAATAATCCGTGTATTGACCCCGTACCAGAGCAATGGGATAGTGACCGATCCTTCGTTCCGCGTCAACTTTCTGCTGTTTCTTTGGCACGTGTATCGTGAAAGTCTGTATATCTAAGCTACATTTCCTGCTCTCTCGCCGAGCTTTGTTCAAACTGATGTTCCAAGACAGCGCGGACTGAACAGCCATCTCTGCCAGGTCGATCCTGTTCTTCTCCGCGTTCGCAGCCGCCGTTAGCTCTTTCTGTTTCTTGAAATGTTCCTTCACCCGTTTCTCGCTCATGTGTTTCCGACATTCCTCGTATTGATGAGGAAAATCGCAGCACATTACGTCTAATGCTTCTGAACTGCATATAGCTGTTAAACCTGCGACCGCATTAAAAGTTATGTACGACAGATTACGAGACGTGTAATACAAAGTAAATACAGATAACGTTTTACGATTGGCGACTTACCCATTTCGCACATCGCCTCGCTCACCAGTCCGTTCTCTCTCAAATAATTTCTCTCCTCCATGTCCACTACTCTTCTCTTCAGATATGGGTACTTCCTTTTGAAAGATTTCACTCCAAGGTACTGAGATATTTGCTCCTGTATCATGAAAGTTTCACCCTTGTGATCCAGTGGCCATTCGTATTCAGCGAGCTTGTCAACGGTAAATGGACCTTCGTCTGGATCAAAATTAATTTCCATCCTTCGATTTTTCACTTTCACTTTCTCTGACTTTGTAGTCGTCGTGCTGAGTACACTTTCTTGAGACTCCTCGTTCACTATCGTCTCAGAGGCTGTAATAATCGTTAATAAAATGCAATGTATTGCAATTAAAAATCTAACCAACCGTCTTACCGTCAAACATATCAGATTCCTTAAGATGAAAACGTTATTGTTTAAAAAAGGAAAAAGTTAATTGCCTAAACGTCTCTCCGGTTCAAATTAAAAAGACGAAAATAGTCTCGTGACTGTATTGAGGTTCCAAGAAAGTCACCGCGAGAACATAGAAAAACCGTGCCGAGTTTCTTGCCGGCTCGGTCGTTTCAACTGTCGCGATGTTTTGATTCCACGACCGGTAAAAGTTTGAATCGGGCAGAGCGCGACGACTAATCTCAGTTTGCATACCAGTGGAATCTAAAATATTAATTAAATTCGTACCCAGTGCTCCATCGTTCTTTCCTCTCGTCATTGTTTCATCGACTTTACCCGGAGAATTAGCAATTTTCGAATCCATCGCCGGTTGCTTGAGAGCTTTGTATAACTCCGGTGATTTCACGAAAGGTTCCTGATGTATTCCGGGATCATCTAGCGTAATTACAGCCGTAGTCGAGGCTTCTATTGCACTCAAGTCTTGCTCTATCCTCGCTTTCTTCGATAGCTGAGAATCAGCGTTGTCCAGTTTCCTTTTCCCTCCACCTAATGAGCGAACAAATGTTAAAAAGAAACATGTATTAAAAAGAAACTCAGAGAAAGTGGTATAAATGTTTTACTTTACGAAAAATGCAAACCTCGCCCTCTGCCTCTTTTAGGAGGCGCATAACTCTTCTGACTTCTACAAGCCCTCTTAGGTCTCTCGTTCTTCCTGGACTCCTGTCTTCGGGTACGAACAGAGCTGGCCCATCTGCTCCGTCTACGACGCTTTCTACCATCTTTGGAGATAATACCAAGGGAGAATCCATGATTCTTGAAGAAACTTAACAGCCGATTCGAGTTCATATATTTCGGAACTGGGTTCCGATGCCTCTATCGCGGATGGAGCATCGTTTAAATTCTCGCCCTAATCTAATGTATAAAAATTCTTATTTGAAAAAGTTCCTTTGGGACAAGATGTATTTATAATCTAAATATGCGGTTATATGCAGGAATACCAGAACGTAGGATTTCTC